AAATAAAGTCTTTTCTCAAGGTCATTTTCGAAAGAACCCTTTTGTAAAGTACCTTTTGCAACAAAATTATACATCAAGGGGCCCAAAATCTTTTGAGAATTCATTTCATATTAATTATTATGCCTGACTATTTGCAAATATTTCTTAGTCTTGGTTTTTTGGCAACTATTATAGCTACACTCTTGAGAACTTTGGGGTATGAGAATTTTTTTCTTTTAATCAAAGTTTATGAAGTATTAGCCATTTGTGCCATATAGGGCTTTTACAGCTCGTGCTCGAATTGTAGCTGCAAGTTATTCTTAGATGCACGTGACTTATGTTTAATATCCAAATCTTATTCTAACTTGATGTTGAGAACTTTTATTCATACTATACACGAAAAATTTGTATTCATATTGTGTTTGTAACAATAGCAGAACTGGATAAGCAGGTAGAATATCTCTGCCTTGGAATTATTAATCTTTCACTGCGTAGTCCATAGTATAGATTATATTAGGATATTAATCCCAAAAATTTCTGAAAATGACAGTTACATGTAGCATCTGTTCAATGTTAAGTGATATTTTATATACTAAAAGGGAGAAAGAAGCCGAGAAAGAATGAACTTGTGCCCATTAAATTTTGGAAGGGACAAGCGTGCCTTTTAATTAATGTGTTAATGCAATTTTTTCTGCTTTAACGTATACACAGGAAGAGGAGACAAAGTCTTGGAAGAAACTGATTAATATTGCTGTCTCTGGTGCAGCCGGAATGATTTCCAATCATCTCCTTTTCAAGGTAAAAAAATGTTTTTCTTTAATTCTTTGTTGAGTTGGATCATCCTAACAATGTTAGCATCTATATTTGTTCTTCTTACGTTAAGCATAATGTTTGGCTAAGCTTAAAAGTGAGTCAAAATTGTTTCCAAACATTTTTGAATATGCAACATTTTTCTTACTTAAAAGTAAACAGCGTTACTTGTTTTGATAGTAAGGTTAAAGTTACTTTTAAAATAAGTAACTTAATAATTTCCAACTATGATCAATAAAAAATAATTATTTACTTAAAAAGTGAAATTACATAATAGACAAACATGCACTTATATCCATGAAATTGCCAAATTCAACATATAGATGCTTTTATCCTGCAGCGTCTGTCCTTTGCTGCTTATGATATAATGGAATGATAATACATGAAGCCTTCTTGTATCTAAAGAAAAACTACCTACTATCCATGAATAAGTGAGTCATTCTGATGATTAACACAGTAATGAGACATCATTATGACACAAAACTACGTATTTTTCTGCGACGTTTACTTGATGATTAGAACTTGTTCTATTATCGCAGTTAGCTTCTGGTGAGGTGTTTGGGCAAGATCAACCTATTGCGTTAAAACTATTGGGATCAGAGCGATCATTCCAAGCTCTCGAAGGTAAATTAAGTAGATACTGTCACTGTCCCTTCCAAAATCCAAAATGATTGCGAATATAAACCATCGAGCAACAAATACAGGTAGTTTTTTACATAGTTGAAGTATGCCCATTTTTCAAGACAATTGTCGTGTAAATTGATTAGAGGGAGATATATATTATAATCTTAAGTTGATACCAATTTCTTCAAACTTCATACGATCTTATAAAATTTTCCACCTGCAATGTTATACATGAATGCTGGAAGCTGACTGCACTTCTGCTAGACATGAAATTTTAAGTTTTTTCAAGATTGAAATTACTGTATTTATTTGCTAATTAATATTGTACCAAAATATTTCAGGGGTTGCAATGGAACTTGAGGATTCCTTGTTTCCTTTGTTGAGGGAAGTGAGTATCAGCATCGATGCTTATGAAGTGTTCCAAGATGCAGATTGGGCACTTCTGATTGGAGCGAAACCTCGTGGCCCTGGAATGGAACGGGCTGGTTTACTAGACATAAATGGGCAAATTTTTGCAGAGCAGGTGTCTTCTTATTCTTAAAAAATCAACATAAGTTGGGCATTTTCATGCTTAAGAATCCTCGTAAATGTAAACAAATAGTTATACTTTGATACAGGGAAAAGCTCTCAATGCTGTTGCGTCCCGGAATGTCAAAGTTATAGTGGTGGGGAATCCATGCAATACAAAGTAATGCAATATTACTCTTTTGCTTGATACCAAGTTTTTTTTTTACTTCCACTGATGCCTTACTAATTTATTTTCTCTCCTTTGAAGTGCATTGATCTGTTTGAAAAATGCTCCAGATATTCCTGCAAAAAATTTCCACGCTTTGACTAGATTAGATGAAAATAGAGCAAAATGTCAGGTCAGCCAACCGTGTTGAGATAATTCGTATTCTTATTTACCTTCCGTCTCGATCAAGGCAACGATTGAACTTCTACTCATGTTTTATGGTTTGTGCAGCTGGCTCTAAGAGCAGGAGTTTTCTATGATAAAGTATCCAATGTAACAATTTGGGGGAACCACTCGACCACTCAGGTAATTCTTCGAACTCCGTCGTAGAACATCTTTTTGAAAACATAATTTAAATATCAATGTAGCACTATCCATTTATGAAAATTGTACACGTGTCATGTTTTTTATATAAAAAATGAATCTGACGTGCACATGAAGGGGCATGTCAAAGACATAATTTAAATAAATAATTAACTTTCCTTCTCTAACAACTTCAGCTTTTAAGCTTTTTAGATGAGGCGTTCCAACACACCCTAAAGTCTCGTTAAACTATTCGTGGCTTATATTAACAGGTTCCAGACTTCTTAAATGCTAAAATTAACGGCGTACCCGTCAAAGAGGTTATCAAAGATACTAAATGGTTAGAAGAAGAGTTCACAGAAATAGTTCAGAAGGTGAGATCTCAAACTAAAGTTTCTTGTTTCAGCGTTTTATTTAAAATATGCTGAAGGCGATAGTTGATTATATTCAAATTTGATTTTCAGAGAGGTGGTGTTCTTATTAAGAAATGGGGACGATCTTCTGCTGCATCAACTGCAGTGTCAATTCTGGATGCAATAAGGTCTCTTGTAACTCCTACTCCTGAGGGAGATTGGTTTTCTTCTGGAGTAAGTTCGTAAACTTGAATGCAATGTTCAATTTTACATATCAGTATGAAAGTTCTCAATTAATTTTGGAACTTTTTTTTTTCAAGAATTTTTTTGCCAGTACTATTGCATTCGAACATCTTTTTAGCATTTAGCGCTCGCGATTCTCCATGCAGAATAGAATGGCTGTTGATGTTTGTTAATATCTTTATTTTCTTAATTTCAAATAAAATTTAAGGTATACACTTCCGGAAATCCTTATGGAATAGCAGAGGATATTATTTTCAGTATGCCATGCAGGTCAAAAGTAAGCATCTCCAAAAGAATTCCTTTCTAGTATCATTTCTCTGCTCAAGCTTTCGTCTAAGATTTCATCTAACTTTTAATAACTACATTCTTAGGGAGATGGTGATTATGAACTTGTCAAGGACATAATTATCGACGACTTCCTTCGCAGCCGAATTAAAAAGGTACGTCTTATCATTTGATATTGGGTATTATATACCAGCCTTTTAATCTTTATTCTTGATTATAGTCTAATACTCTATGTGAAATATATACTAAATCTTATTTCAAATTCTTATTACTGCTAGATCCACTGAAATATTGACACAACTAGATAATTTACAACTGTAACCTACCTTGTTAATTTATGTCCGACTCTTCCACTTTTGACATATTCTACTAAGATCACATCACTCTCACTCTCTCATGAACTTCTTTATACACAAGACATGTCCAGCCAACTAAGTTGTCCTTCCTTTTCGTATGTTTCATAATTTCCTTTTATTTTCAGATAAAATTTAATTTAACTTTTTTGACATTAAATCCTTGCAACTGTTGCAAGAAATAAATTTATTATCTTTTTAAGCTTAACCAAACATGCAGCAGGAGTCTAAATTTTTATTCAAAGAAGGATAGATGGCAAGTCATTGCCTCGAAATATCAAAATGAATTTAGGCATATATGCTGTAATTCAAAGCATGGATCTTATACAATACTTTTAAACAGCCCCGTGCCATGGCCTTTTAGGTAAATTTGAACTTTGATAATCTTGCATGGATTATTTTGCAGACAGAAGCCGAACTGCTGGCTGAGAAGAGATGTGTAGCCCATCTTACAGGCGAGGTAAGAATTAAATTTTCCAGTACTAGCATTCTGCTGTTGACATTGTAGAAGCCATATTAATGGCTCTCTTATTCGTAGGGTATTGCTGTATGTGATCTTCCTGGCGATACAATGCTCCCGGGAGAAATGTGAAGCCACCAGACAAGGCGTCTTCAAGGTACCACAAAGAGCTCCTGGCTTCACTCGACGGAAATGAATCTTTTGATTATATAGAAGAGTAAGCAGTACCCCAATAATTTATCAAAACTTTTCTAGTTCATCCCAACATTCCAATACAACTTCACGCTATTGTAAATTAAGTCCAAATCGCTATTTTGAAAGCAATTATAAACAGAAAAATAACTAGAAAAACGAACAAAGCAAACGCACAATTTGTAGTGGTTCACGGTAAGTGTGCGAGGCATTCCCTAGAAATACCAATTATATCAGCCTTTGACGAATCAACTCACATTGGACTCACATTGAGATCAAGTTTATCTACTACAAGAACAAAAGAATCAATATATATGCTTCCTTAAAAATTTAGCAGCAAACCAAAATCCAGTCAAAGATGTAACCAATTTTTAAAGTGGAAATACAGATTATGAAAATCGGTATGCTTCTGGAATAGAAGCTTAGTCTGACATTGGAGAACAAAACAGTGTCAACCTACAGAAGGAAAGTATTCAACACACTTGTACAAGAATCAAATCCTAATAATTTTAGTAGCTTCTATAGCAATATAAGATACAGAATAAATAATCATGCATTTATGTAGCTTGGTATCAATTTGAGGAGAATATCTACCAAGTCTACCTCCAAGTTTTCACCCACTTTACGGTTTATGGATCTTTGACATATTTCCTACTTGTAACACTTTACCTCGCACATATATAGGACCCAATTTTGAAGCTCATGGAGAAAATTAGGACCCAGAGGAAAATAAAGTAGAACCAGCCCCTAGAAATTGCTGAAATGGTCTTTCCAGGAAGTAAAACACTCGATTCCAAGCTCGCAGAACCATCAGAACCTTGTGACAGACCAAAAGAAAGAACAATGTTAAAGTTCCCATGTTTGCCAAATGAATTGTCTGCCCCATTTCCACCCATGGTTAAATTTTGTAATTGAATCATGCCGGCAGTAATATGTGCCGAACTGGAAGGCTGATATACAGAATTGAAACGAAGAGCAGCATCTTTTGGATAAATCTCTGAAGCGAATGCTGGAGGAGCAGAGATGCTGCCCAACATGCGACTTGCCTGCTTCTTGAGTGGATGCTGAAAATCTGCACAATTATAAAGTATACCCAAATTGAATAAAAAAGAAAGTAATTCATAAAATTATCGACTAGCACGGCAGGAGAGACAAACTTTGATGAAATTCCAGGTGCAAGACTGCTACTTCTAATTAGAATGATCTTTCTTACCTGATTCAAATTTCGCAGATTGATTCTTAGAGGATGGTTCAGCATCATAGTCATTGTTACTGTCAAGGATTTGTCTGCTAGATGTAGTATCTTGCTGAGTTGGTTCATTTATGTTCTGGCACATATGGGCAAGTTAAAACTCCGTACCAATATAGCAAAGTGAACATTGAAAAAATAAATTCCAAGTGTAGAATCACCTTCTGAACAAGGAATGCTTCATCAGAAACAAGGTCCTCACTTCCCATCATCTTTGAAGGATCATAAGCGAAATTGCCATCTTCAGCATCAAAGAATGTAAGGTACTCCTCGAGCATGTCAAAAGTAGAGGTATCATCTCCAACATAATTAGAGAGATCATTAGTTTCAATAAATCCTCCATCCCCAGACTGAACGTTATCAAAAGTATCCAGCCAGGATTCGTCCAGCAAGTAATCTACCTCAGAATTCCCAGTCTTGCTTGATTCTCCAATGTATTCACGCTTGAGTGGTTTTCCATCGATATCATGTGAATCAGGCATGTCACATAACCTCTTATCATCAGACTGCTCAGGCTCACATTGATGTTCGGGGACACCCAACAAGAGCTTTTGGGAGTCAACTGCGGTGGATTCCTTTCCATTGCTGCCATCTTCCACAGAGTAGAAATTCAATGGAAGGGTAGTAACATCTGATGTAATGTCTGTTCCAAGAAGAATCTGGCAAAAAGAAGCATTCTATCATTTAAAGATCATAAAGCTTATTGTAGACTCAGAGGTTTCTCTGGGGTGAGATTGGTCAAATACAGCCTAAATGATAAATTTAATTAAGTTCCTAAAAAATTGCAGAACAAGACCATGTGTCACTACAATTAATGCTCTACGATAACTAAAAGACAATGACCTAAACTGGAGTACAAACTCAATAATAAATCTATTCTAGCTCAATGACTTTCTTTATTGAGGGAACTAATAGGCGAGAGAAAATAAAGGTGCAGTTTTTGGTCTCCACTATTCCTCACTGATTTTTTTTTTTTAGCTGTAGTTTGAGGGATGGTGACAATACAATTTACATAACCAAATGATACAAACTTTAACCCATATATATTTCTACCAACAACAGGGATGGATTTTATGCAAGGTGACGAAGAAACAAAACCACAAGTGCATAACCGAAGAACGCACAAAAAAACACTTCCACCATTGGCTAATATGGATTCAACAATTGTAATACAAAAATACTGTGTTTCATGAACAAAAGCTTGTGCAAGAATCTTTAACTCGTCAGCTATTCTTCTCAATTCAATTGTCCGTTATATCTCCACTGTCTTTCAGATCCAAACTTGATAAAAATATCAGTGTACAAATTCTGCAGATCCCCTTTTCAAGGAAATGCATATGGAGCTCCTTTATCATATTTCACTTGGATACTTGACTATTTCAACTTCTTAACATCAGAAAAATTAGCATAAAACTCCAAATTAATGGCTCTACCTTTTAGGGCAAAATGAATTCGAGGATCACTGGGCATATTTTACTTGGATGCTTGCTTGTTTTAATTCATTCACTGTAATTGCTAATTCTCCAAAAATTCCATCATTTGCATGTAGGCAAACCCTTGAAATGGTTCCATTGTATGGGATTTTCTTCACGTGTGAGGAATAAGGAACTTATTTGGAAACAATCCACAATGGTAAACAAGTACAAACCTGCTCAAGGTCATGTCCGTCCAAATAGACATCATTGCCAAAATCCACTTCCTCTGCAGCCTCTTCCTTGGTAGCCATTTCCACCTCATCGTCCTCCCACTCCTCCTCCACAAATGGTGCCCCATACTTTTCGCCATTCTTCGGCCCAGAACCACTCTTTTGAAATACTCGGCACAGTACAAATGCATCCTTCTCCACCAAAATATACAGAGATTATAAAATTAAATAAAGAAATCAGTCAAGAATTTCAAAAAAGAAATGAACCTTGAAGGATTAAGTTCTCTTCGAATGTACCATGATGAGAAACTAATGTTCGTTATTCTAGTAAAAATGATAACAATCCAAGTACTATAATAATAATGATGAATATAAAAGTGGCAATTTCATCTCAAGTTCCATGCTTCTCAATTCAAACAGGCTAAATTCCGCCTTGTTTTTGTTTTTCCATTATTATGCTAGTAGCATAGTAATAACGACTATAAGATTGTGATATCTTCCCAAGTTTAATATTTTACGATCTTATTTCAGAACGACTCAAACTCTGCCTTTTTTTCATTTGCAGTTGGTTTAAACTTACTCCGACATCCAAATCCTCAGAAAATCACTTATCACATACATTTCCTTTATTTTTTCCTTCAGACCACACCCATCATGTGTTTTCTTCAGGTTTATTGAACATTCAATAATGCATACTACTTCTGTCAACAGAAAATACATCTTTAAGTCAAAGCGTGAGAATAATTAAGAATCGAGATACATAATCACTTGTCCCCACCTGAACAATTCCAGCTCTCTCCAACTCCAGATCAACAAGCCTGTACTCATGCATAACCCAGTTAGTCCTCAGACCCTTTGGAGCCCGGCCGCTATGATAAACAAGAGTTTTCTTCATCCCAACAATCTCTGATTTATGGTAGACAGCCCTGTCCTTCCCCGTCGTCTTCCAATATCCTTTTTCAGTTGCCCGGTTGGTCTTTGATCCATTCCCATACTTCTTGTCCAGAATGCTGAAAAAATACCACTCCAAATCTCTAGTCCTTAGCCTTGACATACCTAATACCAACCATATTTATGATACAATTAATTAAGAATTTTCAAACATCAGAAGATAAGATATGCAAATGCTATGTTAGTGGTGTAGAAGGCATCGATGAAGGTAGAATATATGCTACGTATTTGCATGGAGAGATGGGTGATCTTGATACAAACATGAAGTTAACTAAAAGAAATCATTTGACATGATACTTGAAAATTCACTAAGCCTCCATGTGGATAGTGCATTTTAGTGGGAAACGGGAAGGAAATGGAGGAACTCTTATTTTCATGTGTTTGGTTCAATGGAAACGAATCAAGTTAGGGTAAACAAACATGATTAAGAGTTAAATCTGAAATTTACACATCATTTTGCTTTCATTTTCCAATCATGTGCTCAAAAAATTATAAACTATTTCATGTTGGTACGGGAGAAAAGGTGAGAGAAATTATAGTCCTGCAAATTTCAAGATAGAGTTACTACTATCCATCATTAAGTTGGACCAATATCAGACAAAACCTAAAATTATTCGATGATTAACCTCCATTCGGCAAATTTATAAATCATGTATAAATTGATTAAACTTCATATTCAACCACATATTCCATAATGAATCCGCAAGCTATCCACTTATACAACACTAATTCCTCTCTATTAACAAATTAATTTAAACCATTTAAAAATTCTTTCCAATGGAGGCAAAACAAAGGCCAGTTAGTAGTTAGTTCATAAATCAAACCTTATTCCGAAATCAAATATATATTTAATTCCGAGAAACATATCGGTCAAATTCGTTTACCATATCTACAGAATACACCCTAAACATAAAAAAACTTTTTAAAAAAATGTCAAGCTCCATAATAATATAAACCTACACTACCCACACGAAAATTACAGTCAAATATTTCAATAATAGAACCTAGGTTCTAATAAACCAAAGAGTTCCAAATTCTAACTACAAAAACAATAAAAATTTTCTTAACAAAAATAAAAAGAAGATTCTAGAACAGCATGGCTTACTAGGGAGATCCCAGGGTTCGGCCTTGTAAATATCGATATCAGATATAGCATCGAAACGGAAAGACTTCCCGCAGACTTTTCGCCGCAAATAGTAACGCACCAGTTCCTCGTCCGTCGGATGGAATCGGAAACCCGGTGCCAGCATAGTCGACGGCGATTCTGATTTATTGGGTGTAGAATCCATTTCACAAAAGAAAAATCAAAGAAATTAATCAGAATGAGTTTCGATTGATGAAAATTTGAGATTTTTTTTTTTATCTTCCAGCTTAATGGAAGTGGACTTGGAAGAAGAGAGAAGCCATTGGTTGTGAGAGTTTCAACACTCGTGTAAATTCGATTACCTTGTGTAATCTTTTGGAGGAAATTTGACAATCACAGCGCGAAAATAAGAGGGTTGAATTCGACACTTTTTAATTGTATTCCTTGCTTACTTTTTATTTTCATTTTATTTTTTCATTGTATTTTTATTCTTAGCATTCCATTAATTATACAATCTTGTTATATGCACGTTAAGGTTGACATCAAATTTGACACTATATACATTAATCTTAGAATAATAGTATTCGCAGTGAAAACCGTCGATAGTCTTCATTCGTGGCATATGTGTGGCGATTTATGAATGTTGTAGTTTTTTATTGATTTGTGCATCAAATTAAAAATCGTAACATATATGTCATGTGTGAAGACTACCGATAGTCTTTACTATGAATAACATTTTAACAACACTTTAAGAGCTTGTTTGGGAAAGATTAAAATCCAATTAAAATTGAAAATATAGTCGTTATTGGGTCCCACTCGTTTAATAAAAGTCAACTCTAACGTCTATATTTTCAATTTTAATCTGATTTTAATCCTTCCCAAATAAGCTCTAAACAACTAATGCCTAGATTTTGACATGTGATGGAGCGTCAAACTTGTACACCAAGCCACCGTTTGGGAGCCATTTTAATTTGAGAGAATTCATTTTCCAGTTACATCATTCCTGGCCCACCGTTTCATGACTTTTGTATTTGCTGTAGGTTGTCTATGTTTTTCAATTATGCCCCTTTAATGACAAAGAAATCACGGTGCATTTGAAAACGGGGTAGTTGGATTGATGGGTAAAATAGGCAAAACACAAAAGAGTGTAATAGCTTTGATAGACTTTTGTCAAGTCAATGTCATAAATTTTGAATAAGAAAAGAATTGTTCACTGTGCAATGGTAAAAAAATTTATACAGATGAGATGAAAACCAAACCAACGCTAAACTTAATTTTTAATTATAACATTTTTTAAAATAATACTATATGTATACCTTGCATGACATCATTGTTGGTATTCTCTTCTATGTGGAGGAAATTTGTGCAGTAATGTGATGGATGTATTCAAATCAAGAGTGTCGATATTGACCCTTGAACGAGTGTAACGAATTTTTTGTTGATTTCCATACAGAAAATCATTTATCAGTAAAGAGATTTATTTATTTATCATATTTTTTAATATAAAAAAATAAAATATAGAAGTGCTTTGAAACAGTAAAGTGATAGAGAACGTGTGGTTAAAAATAAGGAAACGTTTTTGAATTTCATGTAATATTATTTTATTGAAAAATGTATAAAAATATTTTTTTAGAGAAATATTTGGTTAAAAAGTAGCGAAAAATTTTGGGTTCATGTGTGAAACTATTTTATTGATGGAAAAAGCCATTTGTACACTTTTGTGTACATTAACTTTGACACTCATCTCACAAAAGTGTGTGGAGCCCATCATTTTTTGAATTGCGGACCCCCACCTTTGTGAGAGGAATGTCATGCGAGAGTGTACATCAAGCATGACTCTTTATTGATAAAGTGTATAATTGAAATGAGTTTGAGGGAAAAATATTTTTTTAAATGGGATTCAAAATTTTCCGTGCAACTCTTTATTAAACAGGAGAATTAAACAAGTCTATAATAAATTGAATTGACATGGACACATCGTAAATACAATATCAAACTACATAGTCTCAGTCAATAAACCTGAACAAAGAGACATTCTTTGGAATATAAACACTCTTTTAAAATAAAGAAGATAATTAGCTCAAATTCTCAATGATTCGAGAGAGGGCAGAGTATGTTCCAAATACTGATGATATGATGCCTACGACGATGATCACTAAACAAATTGAGCCCTGCAAATGAATTACAAGAGAAGAATATCAATTTTGTGAAGATTTCCGACGTGGAACCAAGCCTTATTCTTGATAAATTTGAGCCGATTTCACATATCCTTTTAAGTTGAGCAGAAAACGTCTAATTCACCAACACCATAAATCTATCGTGAGACTTGCTTGTTCGTAAGGGCGATAACACTATTACGCACTTATTCGACTTGCCGTGTTTAGTTATAGAGAAGAACGAAACTGAGATTTACCTGAAAGAAGCCTATTCTTCCCCTTAAGATGCTGAGGTAACAAGCACATGGAAGAATCAAAGTCTGGAAAAGAAATTCAGTCAGTACAACGAAATATTCGATAGTATTAAGGGGGTGTTTGGTGGGGATTAAAATTAGATTTTTAGTAGATTGTAATAAAAAATTTTGAAATATGTGGTTGAAAAGTCGTGGGACCCATGAAAGATGTGATTAAACTTGATTGTTTGACTTCGACTTAGATTAAAATCAATGGACGTTAAACTACTTACAACTAGCATTGTGAGTAAAGAGCCAATCAACGCCATCACGAGACCTGTACAACAGAAAACATATCAAATGATGGTAAACCGGATTGTCTATAAAAACCCAATTCTAGCATTATCTTGGAAGGTATAGTCGGAACATGAAAACGTACCAAAGAATGGGATGCTAAGACCAACAAGCAATGTAGATATCACCAATACTGTTCGTATGAGGATTGCATAGATATGAGATTTGGCGCAGTTTGATGGTATCAATTCCTCGAGACTCATTGCCACTGGAGAGATGGTTAACGCATACGTGTCTCACATTAAGGAAAAGCCTGGTTCTTTTTCTTTTATCATAAAAGCTTAAAGGACTAATCTGTTCTAATGAATTGAAAAACTGGCAAAATTCTAACTACAGCCTACTGAATTGAAAAAGGATATTTAGTAAACGGATTGACTACCTGCAAAGAACATTCAGAGACAATTACAAACATGGAGTTTTAAGTTACTGAGTGATCGAAAAAGAATATCTTCAATTGATCAACGTACTGTAGTCCAAACAGCAATTTTAGAAGCAACTAAATCTTGGGGCATGTTGAGGGTAAACTGTGATTGTGTAGATTCTCCGAACATCATGTATCCTAGCACAGCAACTCCAGCATACATCAAAGTACAGATACCGAAACTGCATCATTGTTGATTCAGAAATTCAAAAATAGCAAATTAATTGCATTTGTGTATATGGAGTTGCTTCTTGTTTTTTAGTCAAACCAGCACAAGGAGTATTTATTAGTGCTACAAATTATATAAAGAGCTATACCTTGTTAGGAGGACAGCAGGATATTGGCTAGGTTTTTCCATTGATGTATAGATATTGGGAAACACGGCATGTCCCGAGTAGCAATAACCATAGAGACCAATAGCAACGGGAAGAGTCGAAAGGTTCAGTGTTGTCCCTTTCGTCTGAAATCCAACTTGATCCGCTAAGCCAACCCAAAACAAGCAAGCAACCACCAAGATTGATGCAACAACTCCACCGGCTGAAAATATAGCAAGCCCAAAAAAAAATGCAGATATTGCATTAAGGATCATGCAATTGTATTTATCCAAACACGTGCAAAACTGGTACTCTAATTTTTTTTGGAAAAATATATTTGAAAGATTTCTTTTTTGCTCTTTTCCTCCCTGAAACTGAACATATTATTGTGCTCTATTTAGATCCGGATCTCCAAATTTGACCTACTGGTACAAAATTCATAAAGCAGCTTCGTCAAGGATTCTATGCTCTTTTTATTTAGTAACACGGTCCTCATCGACTTAGTGGATATTAACTTATTTGTTCATTTGGTTTTTGCATGAAGAAAGTTAGAAAACAGACTATCAAACTACGATGCTCACGTGAGTGACATCAACTTATCCACTGGATAATGATATTCAAAATAGTTCTGCCTTTCAAATTACCTCAACTATCAGATATATTGACAAGGAATTTCTTGTTTATAGGTATAACATAATGTTATGGGCTAATAAAGGACCTAAAACAAGTGCTGAATGATATGAACAGAAAGCGATAAAATCCACAGAATTGACAAACTTCATGTTTGCTATATTTTTAAGTCATTTTCTGTTCTGATTAGAACTCCAAAATCTATGGTGAAATGGTTAACATACTCACCAGAAATATAGCTAAGAATGCTCAGGTCTCGCAACCAAACAGTAGGAAGAATAGCAAGGGTGGTCAGCAATGCAAAAAGATGGTGAGAGTTTAATTCAAATGCTCCCAAGCTTAAATGTGCATTTGGAAATAGAGATGATAAGTTATCGCTCTCCAAAATAATATATTCAACACAACAAGCCTGCAAGAGGGCAAGCAAAGAGAAGATTCAGCTCTACATGAACATATACCATACTCATGAATTATGGCCTTTTTTGAGCCACCTTTTTATAGAATGAAAATGAAAAATATAGCCGTTATTAGGGCCAACACAAGATATAGAAAATTTAAATGTTGATGTGATGGATTAGAAAATAAGGTGGCCCAAACGGGGACTATGAAATACAGGATGTGGTTAGATGTGAAACATGTGGAACTCAAAAGCCATGTGATAATCAACAAATATAGTTATATAACATGTTTGATATGGAGGACTGGATAGATCTGGACAGTATTGAAGAGAAAAAAAACTAAAAATCTTGTTCTTGGTGATGTCCAGTCCTGTCAACCATACCAATCACGCCACAGTGTGAGTCATGGGATGGATGAATAATTTGATGGGGCTAGAGAGAGACGAGGACTAAAGTTATACTCTTCCCTTCATTATAAGACTGATAAATTAGCCAGAAACACTTGTGGGGTAGGTTCCTCCAAAATGTAGATTGAGCATGATATAAATAACGATGCCACTCATATAAACATAAATTTATGTTTATATGAGTGGCATCTTTCATTAGAAACGTGAATACCAAATCCAAAGTAGTTTAATCAGTCCAATGTTGTATATTGAAGCAAAGAAAATAAAACCATTTAGTTGTTGGATTACTTACATACAACTCCACGTATAAAACTATCTGCATTCACAAAACACAACAGAAGAAAGATCAATGTCAGCAATCAGTTCTTGTATATTGATTTGCCCTTAATTCAATAAACACTGAACAAACTTACCAAATACTTTTGTGAATGTTTTGTATGTGTAGACCATAAAGAAGTAATGAACTTTGATTTATTAAAACTTTTTCTGACACAAAATATATATCCACAAATTTTCATTACTTTATGTTGTAAGTGTGCAGCGCAATTGGAGATTGTGATAATTCATATATATTAATCTTAAATTCCTTTGCCGAAAAAAATTCAGTAATGAGAATAATGAAGCACGAAGAGCTTAAATAAAGTATAAAAAGCAGCATATTTAATGTTGATGAGTTAGATATTGAAAGAATGTTCTTTGAAGCATTAAAGATGAAATTAAGCTCGTAAAAAGGAGAAAAGCAGGAAAAATCTATCAAAGAACAACAATTGTAAACTTAATAGGTTGCAGACCATCACATGAAATGCCATATACTTAGTAGCTTGTTTTTATTATATCCTTTCAAATTCATGTGTCATAGGAATTTGACAATTAACAGAGGCTAATAATTATTTTGCATACATGGGCAAGTCAAACAACTTTTCTACTTTCCGACATTAATAGAATTTCAAACAACAGAAGATAAGTGGGAATAATAGAACTTACGGATATGGCAATACGCCCCAATGTACCGAAAGCAGCTTGGCCAATATCCGGGTAAGTTTCAAGCCCAGGCCGGCTGTCCAAGCAGTAACGTAGCAGAATCCCAGTGTAGTAAGAAAGGACAGCAAATATCAACAGTATAGAAAGCCCCACCCATCCTCCTTCTTTGACAGCATAAGGTGTAGAAAGGATTCCTACTCCACACAGAACATTCATGCCTGTATAAAGCCGATATAGAAAACAATTATGATTACACTTAAGGTGTTTATGTGATCAAAAAGAGGATTAATAATAGTAATCAGCCAGCTATACCAAAGGTGAAAGAATATTCTATTCCTGATTACTTAAAGAATGTAGAACAATCTTTACTTATTGTTTAATTTCACATTGGTCCTTCTCAGAATATAGGAGGTACAATTTTCTAATTGTTTTACTGTCAAGATTGCAAATTCTTGGAATAATTCAATAAGAGCAATCCTAGCCTATTAAATGCCATACCTTCTTGAAGATGTTAATTAAGAGTCTGAAAGTGACTGGAGAAAAGCAACAAGAACCTAGCCCTGCATACGCTTGTGCCAGTTAAGTCTTAACATCGATATTCTAGCACATATGTTGGCATGGTCGGCACTCAACCACCTTCAACCCCATATGTAAGATTTACGTGCTCGAAGTCATGAACTTTGTTTCGATGATGTTTAAGACTTATCATACGAAATTTAAGGCCTTTAACAAGGGTTCAGGATGATTATTAAGCTCAAACGAAATAAATGTGGAAAAGAATAAGTAGAAGTAAATTTCAGAAGGGCTTTACAGAAATGTGATCAAAATCTGATGGAAATGCAATTGAGTTTAACAAGTTTTTGACTTATTGAGGCTGTGGGAGACCATTGATGTCATTATATTTTCAATTCTTTCTCCTCTTCAAGTAAAGATTCAACTACAATGAAAGTAATATATTCATAATTCATATGACTTGTCATGCCATGCGATGGTATTATATACAATTATGATTATGATGAAAAACACGTTCATTTATGACTAGATGATTTTAACTATCTACACATTTAACTAAAGTAACAATACCAGGTTGAACTAGCATACCATTTACCACTGCTTGGCCATATGAGCTCTGTCGAGAAATTGGGAGTTCATGTGAAACCTTGGAGGCTTTTTCATCGGGAGTTACTTTCTTTATGCCGGTCGGCTTCCTCAACGGTGGAAGCAGAGAACGGGAACTACGTCTTTGTTGGGGCATCTTCTCATCCTCTGCTGCAGGTACGAGGGGTTCGTTCAAAGAAGGTAATATTTCAGGAGTATGTCTCCGAGTAAGTGACGTGGAAAGAAATGAGCTGCCAAAGCGTGACAATGTTGGCGTCCCCATAAAGTTAAGACTTGGAGATGAGACACTGCCGTATAAATCAATTGATTGCCTGTAACAAGTATCATCAATGGAATGTGAAGCTTGATATGAAACAATGCAAACTAAAATATTATAATTTGAAATCATATTACATATAATTCCTCTCCCCACAAGGGGCAAGGGCGACAAAGGCGGCTATCACACTCCGAAAGTCTAATCTAATAAGTGTCAGACTAAGCTTCGAGTTAATTCACTATCCATGTTACGTGTGTGCATTAGGATAAAAATAACATCAAATTCACACATTAATACAAATTTTATTATTCCATTGAAGTGTCCTGATTACTCCCAACTATAGGTTACGGATAAACCATTTGACATCCCTTCAGTAAATAATCAGAACACAGAGTTTGTTCACAAATAAGCATATCTAAGTCCATTTCAACTGATACATTTCTGTATGTACTTTTCATCTTTACCATCTTCTTTTTCTCTCTTTATTGATTTCCTTACCAGGTGAATATACTGCCATCTGGCAGTGCAATCAATGAAATTTGAAGACTCTATTTAATTGTCTATTGAAATCATACTTCAAACACCAGCATAATACATTTTTTAAGTGCAACTCTGTAACTGGAAACGATTGAATAATATAATTAATCAGTTGAGATGGTAGATGGTGATTAAGACAGCTCAAAGCCACTTGCAAGACAGCTTCTGTAATGAGCAATTGATAGGTCTTAATCTGAGGTAAGAAACTTATTGTAACCGATTGATGATGAATCAATGACAACCCCAAGGCAGAAATTTCAATTAGGTATTGTCAGCAGCCCTTAGATAATTTTCCTCGGGCCTACAAATCTTTAAACGGTGGCCTGCTGTTTACCCATTCTATCTGTGCTCTCATTTTCGCATCCGGCACAGTATTACCTGTTCCTTAAGACTTCTTAAATAGGCTCATCATCAACAGTCCTGTAACCTTGTTTATTGGACTTTTTATGGGAGATACAACTTCCCCATTCTTATTATCATCTAGGGGCCATTGGCATGAGTTAAAGTCCTCTCCTGCAGGGCAGAACTGCCGAAGCTGGTTATGCTGAGCTTAAATTTTGTTTTGATAGATCACGACCCTGGCTAATCCAGTTTACTAATTAGGAACAACCGTGGCCAGATTTGAGTTCGAGCTTTTTTTTCTTTTACAAAATGAGTCCTACTGTTCCTCCAAACTAAAGGATTGTTCTTATAGAAAATCCAAACCATAGTAGATTCATCCAACTTCGACGAGTAGAAAATGGACCTTCAATCAATAATTTTCATCAACACAGGCAAGTGACTACTGAATCTATTCATGAAAATATAGCATTCGCGAGAAAACTAACAAATAATAATTCAAGAATAGCCTAAAACCCGATATCAAGTAAAATCCAATTAACAACTGAAAAATTGTAAAACAAGTTACGAAAATCAATAACTGAAACACATACTAACAAAAATGCTTATAGAGATGCATATACTATATATACCTATAACTCTGAGGCCAAGGGGTATTGTATGAATTCGGTTTACTTCGTTGGGCATTGTCGTTATCATTATCATTATCATCGGAGTACTTGGAAGAATCTGAGGCATTCCCATCTTCACTGTTGTCAAATGCTTTCTCCTCATCTTCTTCCTCACTCTCTATGTAAAAACTCTGTTCTGATATCGAATTCTTCATTTTATTCTCAATTCAGAGCTTCAAGTGTATCTGTATATAACATATAGATTTAGAGCATAAACTCACCAATCAAATCTCTCACACATGGAAATTTCAAGACTTCTAATTAATGCAGCCAAAATATGAATTCCATTGAACAGATAGGTATAATCAATAGATTTAGCACAAAGATGGAAAAATGTTTGAAAGTAGAAAGAAGAAACTTTGCCTAAAACCAATTATTTTCTTAAACTTGAAACCCAACTAAATTCAGAAATAAAAGATTAAATTGATTGCCTGAAAATATGGGCTTGATTTGTAGCTTAACATAGTATTTAAACATGGACAATGGAAATGATTCTATTACCTTAACTAGAATTTTTTTTGAAGAAAATAAGAATTCAGTGTCTGCAAATCCAATTCTATAATTAGACTCGATAGTCAAAATTCTAGATTCATCAGTTTAAGCATTTCTCCACTCACACATATACACAGAGAGAGAGAGAGAGAGAGAGAGAGAGAGAGAGAGAGAGAGAGTTTCTTACTTTTTCTAGGAGCTCCCGAAGGTAGAAAAATGTCGGGTTTTGTTTATGGGATTCTGTCCAAAAAGGTCCACACCTTCCCTTTTTCGTATTAAACTGAAGAAGATTCTGTTTTTCGAAAGGACTCCCCCAAAATCTTCACTTTCTTCCTACAGAAGTCTCTCTCACGCTCACTCTCATCCGTACACAAGCACACTGAAAAACTGCTAATGATCTTGTTTTGTGCATGCTCACAGCTCTCTACAAAATTCACTTGTAGTAGTCCTCAAAGGGCAGCTCGTATGGTACAAGATTGTGACCGAATTAATTATATGAATTATGACAGAAATATCTTCTGTCATATGTGTCATTCCTTTTCTTTTTCTGCTTCAGACAATCTTGTTTTTTTCCCATTGATTTACGATATGCAAATGTTTATCATGTTGCATTGAGGGTAAATTCCGCCCATGGTCACCGACTTCAATTTGGATCAAATAATCTGTACTTTAATTTGCAAACAACCATGTATAGAATCGACATGAACATTAAAAATAACGTAATCTCCGAGTGTGTTTCTGTCAAGCCAGCAAAGTAAATTTCATCTACGGTCACAAAAAATGTTATTTCAAATTTAATAGACAAAAATCACTTATTAAAAATTTGGTTGCCATTAATTTTTTGTTATAAAATATATATAGACAAAAAAATCACTTACTAATTATATATAGACAAAAATTACTTTTTAATTGATATATATGTACAAAAAATCACTAATTATTTATATTTGGACAAAAATAACTTAATAAAAATTAATTATATATATAGACAGAACGTCACTTATTACTTATATTTGTAGACCAAAAACACTTGATAAAAATTAATTGCAACTAAGTTTAAGTGTCCATTTTGAGATTGTTGAAAAATTGTTTTGAAACATCCAAAACACGTTTTGAAAATTTTGACTGGACTATAAATGAAAACACTCAAAACGACATTTCTTTGTAAATTTTTAACTTGTTTTCAAAAACACGTTTTCGAAAATAGAAAAGAGAACGCGTTTTTACTGTTTTGAAAAATCGAAAATAAAAAACAGCTTGAAAATGGTAAAGCGAACAGGCCTTACCGCCTTAGTTTTGGAAATGATTAATGATCATAGTATTTGTGATTTTAATTAGTTGGTATATATTGTTTTATTTATTTAATATCATAAAATAGTATTATAAATTGCAAAAAACCTTTTTAAAACCTTGGAATTAAAGTTCAGTGGTGTGATTACCTCGGATTAAAGATAACTTCATTGGTTAAAGTTCAGTGACCAAGGGTGAAATTTACTTTCTGACTTGGTAGAACATGTGCAGATTTCGTTACTTTTAATTCTCACATCATCAGTTAATAGAGTGGTTGAACAAAAGCCTGACGGATACGTCTAATTGCTTGCAATTAAAGTACAATGGTGCGATTGCTTAGAATTAAAAGTTTAGTGGCCTTATTGCAAGTAAGGGTAAAATTCAATGACTGCAATGAAATTTACCCATTGCAATATATATATATATATATATATATATATATATCATTGTGTCTGCATAAAATTATTTTTTACTAGACATTTGAATGTAGTGATCTAAATTTTGTGGGTCAGGTTGTTGAAAGGAACCACTATTTTAAAAAAATATTCAAAAAAAAAAAAAAGATATTTGCCCTCTTAACATTATTAGTGAGTGTTTGGTGGGGTTTAAAATTAAATTTTTAGTAGATTGTGATATAAGTTTTTGAAATATGTGGTTGAAAAGTTGTGAGACTCATAAAAAATGTGGTTAATATTGATTGTTTGACTTCTATCAATTTTCACATTTACGTGTTAGATTTTTCAATCAATACCACATGAAAAAATCACTACACAACACTTCTACAACCAAGATCAAAGAATAAAAAATCAATAATATAAAATGATCATTTGTTGAGAATAGGGTCTTAGTTAATATGATTTATGTTCGATTTGAATGAAAAGATAAGTGGAGATTGTGTTGAGTTCTTCCTCTTTCGTTTTTCTTTTCTTTTTTTAAACTTTACCTCCTTTCAAAATCTATTCGAGCCAATAAAATAAAGCTTTATTGAAGATTTGCAAGTTCTTTAGTAACCCTTTTTTTACTCACCCACAATTGGTCATTTCTCCGCTAAGTACAATTATTTCACTCCTCTTTATTGTCGAAGATTGTCTTGGTAGTCTTTGCATAGTTAATGAATTCTACTTAGTAGGGACCCAAACACATGAATGATTTTTCTCAAAGTCAAACCACGGATCACCGTCGATCTATGATCAAAGAAAACTATACCTGAAAAATAGGACAACGAAGATTTTTGGATAATTGAGTGTATGAGTGTTGTCTGTTTATTACCCTATTTGTTTCGAATTAAAATCAGATTTTAATTTAAATCAAAGATAAACAATCAATATTAATCACATCTTTCATGTGTCCCACAACTTTTCAACCGCATATTTCAAAAACTTCTATCATAATTTACTAAAAATCTAATTTTAATTTTCACCAAACACCCACTAAATGAGGAGTTTTAGGGGGCACGGTGGTGTTGGAAATTGTAGTGATGGATGGGGTTTGGCCGTTTGGGATCTTGTCGATGACAAGGATGGTTGCAATGTGTATGTGGGCAAGTAGGGAGTGAGGGAGGAGAGGCTAGGGAAGAATGAAAGTAGTAATTTCATTATTTTCTATTGCGTTTTTATTATTTAAATCAAAGGTTAAATGTAACATCACATGCATACTTTTCGTTATTATCATTTTTGTCTCTACTATTAATATTATATTTATTGTTTAATAAATGTGAATACTTTGTCGTGACTTATTATAATTTTTTTTCAGTGGAATGTGTCTTGGACATTCAGACGATCGACGAGCCGTTAATTAAGTTTGATATGGTTATAATTTTATTAATATTAGATTTAAATTATAAAATATATTTTACTATATGCTTCTAATTTATCTTGCTTTTAGAGTTGAAAGATTTCCTTCTTAAAAAGTATATTTGGGCAAATTAGTTAAAATAAAAATAAATAAATGAATAATTGGATGATATAATAGGAATTAGTAAAGTAATAATAGCATTAAATTAGAGTTTAAATAAGTTAATAAGAATAAAGAACGGATCTCATTAGTTTATTAGTAGAAATTATGCCTAATTAGTTACCATTATTTACTCACCCCTTGCATATAAGAATTTACCCAGTCATATCAAAAGCACTCCCTCTATGTTGAATTTGAAGAATTTATTGTAAGGTACTCAATAATTTTCTTTTACTTTAAAAAGTGGATTTCGATTAAATTCCTAAATGATTGATATGAATTAGGATTTTGGCACGTTGATTTCGTGGGTCATTCGGGACATCTTCACTTGTCATTCGAGAAGTAAATTGTTAGGATTCGAGGTAAGTAAACCTCACCTTATTTTCATGCGCACGTCACATGATTAAATGTTATTAACTTATTATTTAAATTGCTCTTATGTGAACATTATATATGATTATTATGTTTCTTATAACATATTTTTTTTGTTAATGACAACGCATTCATAAACATGTATGAAGCTTCATGAGGTAAAAAGTTTTCAAATGTTAATGGATTAAGGAATGTTTTAAAAAAATAAAATGTTTTTATTACGAGGTGCATGTCTATACCATGAAAAGTGTGAATGAGAAATGGGTCGTGAGGGACCGGTGCACCCGACCAATGTTCAATATTAATGTTAACCGTTTTGCGGTACTACTAGTAGAATGAATTGGGGTCCAAATAATAATTGCACACTACATAATGATTGACTAGGCGATACACTAAATTGAGCTTACAATGTTAACGTTAATGTTTTTTTTATTGAAAATAAAAATTAGTTTTGCGTAAATAAAAACTAAATTGACAAAAATAGATATTAGACAATATGAAATGAAAGGATTACTGTTTGTTTGTGGTTAAAGTGAACAATTAATTTTAAACAGACATTCGTGTGACTCACACACAACTTTTATTCATTTTTCAACTGTATATTTCATCATTTTTTTATTAAAAATAAGTAAAAGTTTTGTCGAACAATCTTTTAATTAAGCCCATAAAGATAAGAAGTCCTTTCATATTTCGACATTTTTTGGTGGATTACACGTTTATGGCATAATTCAATAATGATTTAGATATGTTCAAAAGAATTTTCCATTAAACAAAATAAATTTAGTTGCTTCACGACCCCACTTAATAGACGTGGCAAATGAACATTTGGAAGTCGACTTGAGTGAAGAATAATGTTTCAGTTCGATCACTTGAATAACTATGACACGATAGATTCATACCAAGATAGGAGGATGAATTATTGAACTAGAAAATTCACAATATCAATAGAAGACATGTGCCATTTTAAAAGTTGATGTGATCGGATCACACTTATATCTTACTTGAAAAAATCATACATAAATTTATACTCGTTGAGACGTAAGAAATG